ACAGAATACATCAGCAGCCCAAACATTTACCAAGATAGCACGACAGCTACAACTTCTCCTTGTTTAAAACCACAAGAAAGTATCTCCCAAGATCTCATCCAGAATAGACAGGATGCCAGCTCTGATACCATATGAAATTCTGGTATGCAGATCTCATATGTCCCAAGAACATTGATCTTTGCTCAACAAGGACGAGGACAGACCATGACCAATTTAAATTTCTTTAAATTGTACCAATGTCATGACCAACGTCATGACGTCTGTTGTAACATCTGCAGACTAACATACTATTTATCTAAACATTTAAATTGAGCAGAATTGTAAATGCTGAAAGATAAATAACATAATGAATTTTTTACCCAGTTCGGTGCAACCTCACCTACATCTGGAGGCTACCAAGCCAGGAAAGAAATCCACTATTAGCAGAATCAATTCAGAGCTAAACTCCCTTGTTTACAACTCCTCACTTAGTCTCTACCCAATGCAATTTCTGCCTAGAGACTACTAGACAAGAGTATACCCACTCACTCCCCCTCAATCACCGCAATGATATACAATTCAATACAAAATAAGACTTTAGAAGATACTCTTCAAAGTCACAACACTTGATTTTGCTTAATGGCTTCAATCAAGGATAATGAACACAACAGTTCATACACACTAAACCAATGCAATTATCCAGCAGACAATTACTTGGCACACAAGGAATCCTAAGACTCCTACACACGTGAAGAATCACTGCATACCACATAATTCTCCACTCAAAAAACACACATGAAGAGCAACACTCTTCACTCACAAATATATCTACCACAATGTATCAAAAGATACAAAGGGTGACTTACACACACAAGGGACTCTTAAACCCTAGACCTTTATTTTAAACTCTGGTTGTTCTTGATTTGAGTGCTTGATTTCCTCTGCTTCTGCTCCTCCTTAAAAAGTAGTTCAGACTGGGCTTGGGCTGGTCACGAGTAACAAAATTTAGGTTAAACCAAGTTAAACCACTTTCCCTAATTTAAGGTGTTGTCAAATTAGGTCACAACTGCTTCATGTTATGTCCAGCCCTGACTAGAATCTCACTTGAGATAACTAAGGAGCCATAACAGGTTTCCTGAAATCTAGCATGAGATATATCAGGTATCATAACAGAAAAACAAACCCTGCACGCCTGATTTCATACGATCAATGTCATAACATTCAGTCATGACATTCAGCTTCACTTACTCTTAGCTGACCAGACCCCCCCTGCTGAGCACTTCTGCAAAATCTTCTTCACAGCAGTAGAAACAAGCATATTATTCTATCCTAAAAAGTCTCAAAGATCCTTTTTATGAACATCAATTAAATCTGCACTTTGTTCCTAATGAATCACTTTGGCCTGCACATACTGAAGATGTATATCCAAAGCACTTCTGTCAAGTGATACAAAATAGCAGCTCCTGTTGTACCAGACAGTGATATCATGACATTGGTAATGACATCCATGACAACAGTTCTGTCATCAGCTCCTGCTGCACCAGAAAGCGATGTCATGACATCCACGACAGTAGTTCTGTCATCTGCTCCTGCTAGCTCCTGCTGTTTATAACACATGACAATAGTTCTGTTACCATAGCTCCTGCTGTATCGACATTGGTCATGACATTGTGATTAAAAACACATGACAACAGATGGATGTCATAGCATCTGTCGTGACATCTTGTTTAACATCAGTGCAAAATCTTGTTTTACCAAAATTTAGCCAATTCTAGAACCATGGAAAATTCTATATCATAGAATCATGGAACTAACAAAATATTTACCTCATCTCTAAGTTGTTGATCATCAATATAATTATATGGCTCACCATTGCAACCATCACCACTAATAGCATCTAAATTATGACCAGGTAACCAAACTAGATCAATATTAGACAAACTGATATCTTTCTTGGATGTAGCATTCTCTACCTTATCAATATCTTTAATAATTTGGTATTTCATAAACATCATATTGTGGCTTCGAATAAGCTTCTTCCTTACGGGATTATACAACCTGTAGGCAAACTCATCTTGCCCATAGCCGATGAAGATACATTGTTTAAAGTTTGCATTCAACTTGGATATTTTATCCTTTTGAATATGCACAAAAGCCATACAACCAAAGACTCTCAAATGATCATACTTGACATTCTTTCCAAACCAAATTTTGTCTGGAACTTCACTGTTTAAAGTAACAGTAGGGGTGAGATTAAGAACATGAACTGCCATGTAAAGTGTCTTGCCCCAATAATGATTTGGCAACTTAGCTTTAGAGAGCATACACCTTACTCTATCAATTACTATTTGATTCATCCTCTCTGCTAATACCATTTATCTGTAATACCATGCTGCTTGCAATAGGAATCAAATGGTCCACAATACTCTCTACCATTGTCTGAACGAATATATTTCAGCTTCTTGCTTGTCTGCCTCTCAACCAAAGTATGGAAGTCTTTGAACTTTTCTAAAACTTAGTATTTTGTCTTTAAGGCATAAATCTATAGTGTCTTGGATCAATCATCAATAAAGGTAACAAAATAAAGTTCCACTAACGGATTTTACCTTTAATGGACCACAAACATCAGAATGTATCAATTGAAGCAACTTTGACTTCATTGAGGGAGGATATCTCTTGAAAGATGCTCTAGTCTGTTTGTCAGCCATACAATGAGAACACTTCTCCAAATCTACATTCTTTAATCTAGGAACAACATCTTTTTTGGCCAAAATATTCAGCCCCTTTTCACAAATATGACTAAGTCTTCGGTGCCACAAAGTTGCCTATATAAAGGGTTTTGTATGATGTAAACATAGAACTTCACTCAATCCTAATTTTCATAATTTAGTTTACAGTTTTCTCTCTTCTCTCTTCTTCTTCTCCGACTTTCATATTTCTTGAAAACATTTGTTTCAACACTTTCCACCCAATTTATCTCTCGATTGCAGGAAAATGACTTAATGAATAACCCTTTATTCTCATGGCGTTGTGAAAAATGATGCTTAGAGAAAATCAAGAAGAAATAATAGAAAAAAATTACTAAGTTACAAAAGTTCTTCCCTACGCTAATCAAGTTGCTCTGAACCATTGAAAATTTATGCATATTGAACTTGAGGCATATGTTATTTAACGCTCCCATAGTGGGAGCCATATGTAAGGGTTTGTCACTCGAAAGTAGGCCAATACTAAGGTCTGATGTGTGTATGGTCAAATCTCTACTATTTTATCTCTACAACCTCTTTAAATTCTATTTATTTAAAGAGATTTCTATAAAGAGTGAATGGAAAGTTTTATTAAAAGTTATTGGAAGGAGTTAGTAGAAAAATGAGTGGTCAATTGGATCTCCCCATTATTTTATACTACATCGAGTCTAAAGACTTATATCCAACCCAATCCCTTAAATACAACTCGGAGGATCATGATTTACCCAATTAAAATATTGAACTTATAATATTGAATGTTATGGACCGACTTAATAATAAAAATAAAACGATATACATTTTTAAATATGAGGCGGCGAAATGCTTGAAATAAGTCTAAAGATCTAAATTTATGTGAAATAAAGTTGCAAAATATGAAGAGATATCATAAATGTATGGCCTCATCTATAAGTTGCTTATATTATAATTGAAAATTAGTTAAAATCACTTCTAAATTGATTTATTCCCTTAATTCTAAATTATATGATATTTTGGGTATTTCACACAATAAAAAAACTTAATTATTATTGTATGGAAAAGATAAATTGTATATGACTTTATAGTAAAGTCTCTTATAATTATAAAAGAAAAAAAATTAAAAGAGTTAAAAGATTGAATAATAATAAATACTTGTGAGTATATTATAAAAAAATTTATAAATTATAAAATGCACAATTTGCTTTGCAAAAATTCTCATAACTTGAATAAAAAAAAAAAAAAAAAGAGTATATGTTAATTTGGTCTCAGCAATAATTTAGCTCAAAAAAAAAATGCCACCCATTGGAGATGCTATATATAACACTTTATAGAAACCTTTCTTTATCCCTCCACCTTGGAACTTCAGTTTTCATCTCCCGAGTTCCTTTCAAACTTATTCTCTGACAGTTATGTTCAATAATTATTCAATAGAAGTATCAGTCAAGCATGGTGATTGTGATGTTGGAATTTAGGTAGTTTGTGATGTTGGAATTTAGGTAGTTTGTGATGTTTAGGTTGATTTTTCTGCCTTTTCATCTGTTTTTAAGTGTGCTTGTTTCTTTTATAATTCTCTCAATTTATAAAACTCATAACTCTCAATTTATAAAACTTATAGTTATGATGTTTTGCTAAATGTTGGAATTGGTGACAACTCCAATACCATACCGATGCTAAATCATTGTTACCATTGGCATTTGAGTGATGCTAAAATCAATTTTTCTAGTTGTGATCATCCATTTATGCTCCTCCCAGATCAGATTGTTTCGAGCAACCCACGTATTCCAAATGTGCACCAAAAAACTATGCGCTTGCTACTCGTGGATAGCTGCAATCGCAAAATTAGTTCATAATAATAACTCAGCATAACCAACATAAATTTATGGTCAGATTAAGTTTGTAAAATTATAAGTTGCCGGATAGGATAGTAAATGAAATATATGTATCATATCAAATCACATGTATATATATCTAAAAAAACTCATCGAATCCGTGAAAATCTATTGAACAAAAAAAGAGAAATCCGTAAAATAGTTAGTATGATTTTTGGGTGATAAAATACTATTCTGGTCTTTATTATAAGAAAAATATGGAATGTTTCTTTGGTCCTAATTATAAGAAAAGTCACCATAGATATCTTCATAAAGTGTACCTCCATCATCTACATATGTGTGGATACAATCCTCTCCTCACTTACTATCCACAACTTTATTCTTTATCCTTTATATTTTCTCTTTATAAATACTGCTTAATAACTAGACAGCATCAATTTGAGCAGCTCATTGAGTTATAGCAGATTTTGAAATGGCAACAGAAGGTAAAGTGGTTGAGCCTGAATTTGAGCATCCTAAGAAGGCGTTTGGTTGGGCAGCTAGAGATCCTTCTGGTGTTCTCTCACCTTTCAATTTCTCTAGAAGGTTCACTTCACTTATCATCTCTTCTCCATTTGTTGCATCATTCTTTTGGTTACTAACTAATTCAATTTGAGTACATTATATATTTTTGTAGGGAAACAGGTGAGAAAGATGTAGCATTCAAGGTGTTGTATTGTGGGGTATGCCACTCTGATCTTCATATGGCCAGGAGTGAATGGGGCAATTCCATCTATCCACTTGTTCCAGGGTAAGTCAGGAAATATAAGCTAAACTTGAAAAAATAGAGCCTCCGAAAAACTAAAAATCGCTAGAAGGAGGGGTTGAACCTCCGACCTTGTGGTTAACAGCCACACGCTCTAACCAACTGAGCTATTCCAGCTTTGTGGCACTATAATCACCTCAAATCAACTAATTTATATTAAACCGCTGATTACAATGCGAGGATTGAACCCGAAATCGTGAGTATTGAAGTTGTTATCGAGTCTCACATTACCATTGTGTTTGAGTTGTTATTCATCATTTAGCTAGTTTTTGAAAGTGAGATCAAAGTTTATTTAACAAAATTATAGAAAAGTATTTATAATAAGGGAGAAGCTAGCATATAATTGCTCAATTTTGTTCTAATACAGGCACGAGCTTGTGGGAGTAGTAACAGAGGTTGGAACTAAAGTAGAAAAGTTTAAAGTTGGAGACAAAGTAGGTGTGGGCTACATGGTTGATTCATGCCGATCCTGCCAAAATTGTGGCGACGATCTTGAGAATTACTGTCTCCAATATACAGTCACAGGTGGTGGAAAATATCGTGATGGTACTGTCACATATGGAGGTTACTCCGACTCGATGGTTGCAGACGAACACTTTGTGATTCGCATTCCTGAGAGTTTATCTCTTGATGTTGCTGGTCCTCTCCTATGTGCTGGTATCACTGTGTATAGCCCTCTTAGATATTATGGACTTGACAAGCCTGGAATGAATATAGGCGTTGTTGGTCTGGGTGGACTTGGTCATATGGCTGTCAAATTTGCAAAAGCTTTGGGTGCCAATGTGACAGTAATTAGTACATCACCTAACAAAGAAAAGGAAGCAATAGAACACTTGGGAGCTGACTCATTTCTGATAAGCCGTGATCCTGATCAGATGCAGGTACAACATGATTAGTTTGATTGTAAGAAAGATAGGTCAAACTCTAATACTCTGTATCAGCAGATTCTGACTCAAACTAATATTAAGGATTATTTTGTAGGCTGCAATTGATACTTTGGATGGTATTATTGACACAGTTTCAGCGAGTCATCCTATCTTACCGCTGGTCAGTATATTGAAATCTCATGGAAAGCTTGTAATGGTTGGTGGGGTATCAAAGCCCCTTGAGCTTCCTGTATCTTCTTTACTCAGAGGTAAGCATAGAAAAATATTTCCATGTATACTCTCAGGACAAAATTTTAAAGTATGCAAAACTTTAATGTTCACTTTTATTAATTTCACATTATTGGTAGGGAGAAAGTTAGTAGCTGGAAGTTTAATTGGAGGTATTAAAGAGACACAAGAAATGATTGATTTTGCAGCGGAACACAATGTAAAGCCTGAGATTGAGATCGTTCCTATTGATTATATCAACACAGCTATGGAGCGTCTTGTTAAAGCAGACGTGAAATATCGATTTGTGATTGATATCGGAAACACATTGAAACCAAGCTCTTGAAGTTTGCAAGATATATATTTCATGGCATGAAGCACTTGCTAATAAGGATATTTTAGATTTCCATCTTTATCAAATATTTGTGTGATGCAATTTTCTAGAGTACAAAAAATAAACATGTATTCAATGTCTTGCACTTATGGTTAACCAAGCCATTTCTAATAAAATTTCTGTGTGTTTTAAAGATGATTATGAAACACGTTAACTGCTGTGCGATTTTGTCACCCACCCATCTTATAACAATCTTTTCAGGAACTTTCACAGGAAACTCCGTAAATTATGTGTTTCCCGTGGAAATATTACTAAAATCCGTAGGAAATGCTGCAGGCAGACAGAAAAAAAAAACATAAATACTTAATGAGCCAAAAAATACTAAATGTTTGGCATTTTTGACATTATTTTTTGAAGTGGTGTTTTGGAATTTCTTTTACAAAACTGTGACATTGGTGTAAAAGAATCCATTAAAAACCATACGAATCAAATGTATCAATACTAAATGAAGACAATTTAGACAGCAATTATTGGAATTTGTCATTGGGAGAATCATGTGGTTATCATCTCTTCTAGGATAAGATAGAAGCATAAATTTGGTTGGTATAAATCAAATTATAAGCTGGTACTTTGGTTGTCTTTACTGAGATGATATAGCATTGTCAATGTCAGGCTTTAATTTGGTCCTTATGTTTTGGAAGAATGTATTCCAATTTGCCTGTTCGAGCGTACCCTCAAGTAATCTTAGAAATATATGGCTGATATGATTAAAAGAAATCTCAAACTTTTACAATCTAACACTTTGACAAATTAAAAGAAATCTCAAACTTTTACAATCTAACACTTTGACAAATTAAAAGAAATCTCAAACTTAACATTCAAATGCTTGAAGTTTTATGTTCTTTTAAGTATGTCACATTTTCTAAATATTTTAGATGACAAAGACACGTGTATATATTTAAAGACAAGCAATATATAAGTAATAATGTCAAATGTGATTGACAGATTACAAGAGAATAAAAGATAAGCGAATAACAAACTTTGCCAATATTTTTTTTATGGGAAAATTAATTTTTTTAAAAACTATTTTCATACTTTTAGGAGACACAACCTTACTATGTACGAGTCTTTGATTTCTCTTTAAAAGATCCAATGCAGAAGACAAAAATATCAATTACAAATAGTTCGAAATCATGTTAATTGTTCGAGCACATTTTCTCACAATCCTCCGGTTACCGCTACTAAATCGACAGAATCACCCGTTCTTCGATTACCTTCGCTCGGCTGAATCTATGATAGACTGATTCGTGTAAAAAAACCCAAAAATCCAGGAATCTTGGAGGACAAAACCCTAACGGTTTTATTCAAGAAAAACCCACTGATTTCTCAACCCAAACCTGATTACACCAATCCTATGTTTGGAGGTTATCACCTCAAATTTGTAGAATGCACAACAAAAATGATTATGTGTAGTTGTTGAGAAAATGCAAGAAATAGGATGAAGATGATGAAAACAAAATTGTTAGACGATGACGCGGATCTAAACGGGGTGTTGAATAGATCCCTTGGTTAAAAACAGTCGGCGCTACCAATAAAATTGGTTTTAAAATATTTGTATAATTTGCGGAAGCGGCCGTGGAAAAATACCGTCTATAACGAACGGTTACTAGAAAACCGGATATGCGTTTTAGCCGATGGAATCGGATAACAAGTAATGAGAATCACTACGCTAGTCACACTATCAATTTGATTTAGCTCACCATGTGGTATGACTAGTTCCAATGTCTTAAAATATTACCACAATAAATGGACAGCACCCAAGGCTTTTGGTTCAGACAATTTATCAAACACTTGGAGTGCAGAGCACTACAAGTGAATTCCGCTTTGAGTAATTTGCTCTAGTTTTCTTGTACAATCAACGATTGTACCAGAGTCAAAATCAGTTTAGCACTTACTCAAAACAGTCCTAGATTTGATATAATTGTTTGCACTAAAACCACACAAATATTAAGCAATGTAAAAACGTAAGGTAAAAGGCACAAGGATTTGTTGAGTCAGTTCCCCCGTCGTCCTCGCTTCGGGGTACGTCTGCCCTCAATTCTAACAATAGAATTGAGACCTTATAATATAAATTTAACTTGTTGTAGAATCGTATATACAAGAATTGAAGGCAATCAGACAAACAAACACCCTTGTTGTTGTAGATGCTATCTTCTCTTCCCCCTTGATCGAGTCGAATCAAGTCCTTCGACAGCTTGTGAATAAACCTCCGATTACAACTCTATGTTTGAACAACCTTTCGTCTTCAAACCCAGCTCGGCTAATTTCAATCACTTGCCTGTCGAACCTGAAACTCTCCTTCACAATCCTCCGCTTACCGTTACTAGATCGACGAAACCCACCGTTCCTCGATCACCTTCACTTGGCTGAATATGTGTTGAGAAGAATCGTACAAAAACCCCTAAATTCAGAGAATCTTGGAGGACAAAACCCTAGAGGTTTTATTCAAGAAAAACCTGTCAATTCCTCAACCCGAACCGGATTACCCAATCAGCGGCTTCGAACGTTATTGTTGCGGTGGAAATAGGATATCAAACTATTAATTAGTTTGAATCACAATTCTTAATTCACAACCGCTCTTTGATTTATCCGAAGGAAAAGGTCAAAAGAGGGAAAACCTATTTTTGCATCGTAAACACAATGCGGGGAGAGACCTAGGTAAGGGGTTGGTTAAGCTTAGGGAAGGTACTAGCACCCTAAACTTCTGTAGTACTCTACAGGAACCTTTTGTTTATTGTATGCTTTTTTATTTTATTATCTGCTTTAATATATATTGAGCTAAGGGATAGAGTGACCTAAAATACCTAAGGGTTAGTCTTAAGCTTACTCGGCAAGACATCGCATCTTGTGCCTACGTATCCTGGATAGGGAATGGAATCAGAGTAATCGTAGTTCCCCTCAAAAGGGAGGTTAGAAACATCTTGACCGTGGTCAAGGTTTCAATGGGGAATAAACGTATCTTAAGGACACGCTTACGTGGAGTCGTTGAAACTCCTATTTCTATGTTGAATTTGTTAATTGAAAATTTAGGGTTGAAATTAGGGATTCCACGGCGGGAAACCCTAAACAGAGTACGGCGACTCTTTGACCTAATGCTAGGGTAAAGGGCATTTTCGTCCACGGCGGGACACCTAGGCTATTAGGGTTTTTGAAACGGTCAAAAATTAAGGTTATTGACTCGGCGGTCAAACGGCTAGACCTAATTCCTTTGGAGGGATTCTAACGGTAAAAACATGCAAAATACGACAAATTACTATTCGGCAGAATTAAAGTGCGGAAAAATAAAGAAAGTGGTAAAAAAAGCATCGCGACGATCACTCGCGTATATTACAAATTCCCAAAAAATGCAAAATAAAATAACTGCGACCATGGCCTCGCGTAAATTACATCCATGGAACAAAAACGAACAAATGAAATAATAACGAGTTGAAACAAACAAATTAACGAGGGTTAGACAAAAATGAAACGGCTAAATCAAAACTTATTTCTTTTTGAGTTTTTATTGAGAAGAGGAGAGGAGAATTAATTTCATGCTTAAATGGAGAAACTATTCTAATTATTTACTAAAAATTTTAATAAAGAAACTGGTTTTAATTTTAATGAAAAAATGTCTTGAAAAAAATGTTTTAATTTTATCGAAAATAAATGTTTTAAATTTTAATTAAAAAAATGTTTTATTTAAATTTAACGAAAAAGGTTTTAATTTTTGTTTTAGTGAAAGAAATGTCATTTTTTAATTTTTGTGTTAACTTAATGAAAAATGGTTTTAATTGGAAAAAAACTTTAATTAAGAAAAACTGTTTTATTTAAAAATATGTTTTTAAATAAAAAATGGTTTAATTTTTGAAAAAAAACTTTTTAGAAAGATCTTAATTTTTAAAAAAAAGTGATTACGTTATGTTTTTTTTTGTTGAAATAGCTTACCTAAACTTAATTGCATTATTAATTACAAACTACATAGTTAATATAAATGAAAAAAATAAACAATTGAAAAATAAAAAAATGAAACGTAAATAAAAAGGCTTCTGCCATTTTCTCCATGGATGACTATCGAAACTTTTCCTCTTCTTCAATCCTTGCATGTCAATGGTTCCTTCTTCTATTTATTCTTCCCATTAATCTACAATCAATGAACAAAACAACACACAAAAATCATAAAATGCCGTAAATCAAAGGAAAGAGAAAGCTTACGGTAACGACGATGATGTTGAACGAACTGAGCCTACGCCGTTGGGACTTTTTGCTCGCCGGTAGCGCTTGGCCGATGATGAATTCAAACCTTTTAGGGTTCTTCCAAAAAAATCGTCTCTTCTGATAAATCGTGAGAACGGCCGTCGTTTTTCTCTTTTGTCTCCTCCTTTTATCAAATGCAACTCATGTTTATATATGTAACAAATTAGGGTTAATTCTAACCTAATGCCCACTTTAAAGTCCAACTTAAATAATTAGTCAAAGCTAAAAAAACAAACTAAAACAAACTTAAAGGAATAAAATCTTTTCTAATATTTTTAATTTTATGATTTTTGGATGTTTTTATGAAAAATATGGAAAAAAGTAAAAAAATAATATTTTTTAAAAAATAATTTAAATAAAATACGAAAATAATAATAAAATAATAAAAAAACTATTTTTGTTATTATTATTATTATTATTTTTTTATGAAAATAGAAAAGTTAGAATAAAAAATAAAAGAAACAAAACAAAAAGTGAAGAAGGTGGGATTCGAACTCTCAACCTCTCACACTCACAACTCCTTACACAGGGTCTCTTGCCAATTGTGCTATTTTATTCATTCAAAATGAAGTGGCACTAGAAACCCTGTAAACTAAAAGAGCGCGCCACATAATATTTTCTTGCAACAATCAAACAACTGCACCACCCGTTAGTGGTTAGTTTAAACGCAATGCACAATGAAATGGGATGCAAGATGAAACGACTAATCTTAGGGCAAA